TTTTTGCAGTGTACTCGCATGGGGTACTCGAAGGAACAAGTTCTTTCTGCTTTTGCTGAAGTCTTTCAAACTGTGAAGAACAAGGAGATTTCTTCACTTTTGCCAGCTGTCTTGTGTTGTCTTCGAGAAGATCAAGTTTATGGTTAGATATTGTCTATCTGAATATTACTCAATAAATAACTGAGAGAATCATTTTCATTTTTGAAAATTGTGGGACATGATATGATTCTTCTTCTATAAATGCTCAGGGCAAGAACCTCGTGATGGAGTGCGAAGTATTAGGATTCAATTAAGTAAAGATGGTGGAGATGGGCTGAACTTATGTACCTTGAGGGGCTGTTCTTCCTCTGTATGTGAATTCCAATTCGATTATCTTGCATCTGTGTCTCAGATATGTTATGATGGGATATGAAGCACCGATAAAAGTTTTACCTGAAGAAGCAATACTAAAAAATGGCTGAGTGAAAACAAGAATATTTTGATTAGATGTGGCGTCTAATAAATAGTTTTCCTTATGAACTGCAAGAGTCTTAGGAAATCATTTTTTCGTAAAGGATCCACTCTAATTCAAACAGTTCAGACTGTGCTGAGATACATGTTTTTTTAGCGTTGTTTGCTTAGCTATTATATGCTACTAATAGCTAACAACTGTTTGCTCTCAAATTTTCTTAATGTTGATGTTAGTTTGTTCATTTATAGGATGAGTTACTGTTTTCCTATTTGATGTGTGTTATATTTATAACTTGCATGAAGAGCTGCCATCATCCTGGTTGATATTTTGATATGTCATATGTGCAGAGGCCAAGTTCCAATGATCTAACAGCAGATATGAATGTCTTAAGTATTCCGCCTCTGAGCTTTGGGGAGAGGTTTGAGGATGTATATGAAGTAATCTTAATATTAGATGATCGAGAGCAATTTACCAGTCAAGGGTTAGTAACTCCATACCCTTAACCTTTTGTTTGATATGCACTTACAAGTTTAGCAGTGTGTGTATATCTTGTGGCTAACAGTGCACGGTCCAAGAAAATGTTGGAGAAGATTTGTGCAGAATTCAAAATCAAAACAAATGTGAGCATTTGGTCCCTTTTTATATTCCTTACTTTCTTCATAACTTTGTAATAAACTGAGACACAGGCTTAATTTCTTTATATGTTGATGGCTGAGACTAACAGTTATTTGCATGCTATTCTTATCTTATTTTGAAATAATTTTACATTTTGGTTGGCCTAAACTCCATTGTTTCTATTAGCAGTTGATTTTCTTATATACATTTAGTGGTTCAGGGAAAATTTTCATCTTATCTTCGTTTTTAATTACTAATAACATTGTCAACGCTAATATTTAAAATTTGGCATATACATATTTATGTTTTGTTAATAAGCCTGAATTTCTACTAAATTTCTCAGTGAACTGTCTCTTGTGGTTGACATATGAATTCTTGTTTCTTTGCTGGTATTTCTACATGACATTAAAAATACAGTTATTTACACAGAGACTCTTCTTCAGGTTAGAAGGTTGCCTATAGGAGATGGAATCTGGATAGCTCGCCATAAATATCTCTCCAATGAATATGTTCTAGACTTTATTGTTGAGAGGAAGAATGTTAACGATCTACGCTCTTCGATACGGGATAATCGTTACAGGGATCAGAAACTAAAGCTTCTGGTATTGATTCTTAATTTCAGTATCTCTTCATTTTTGTTTCATGATTAATTTGTTGCTTGAAATTTTTCCAAGTACCAATGTCTCTGTTGATTCTAATGTTAAAATGCTTATAAACAGATCCTTTGAAGTTGCAATAATCATGCAGGGGTTTTCATGTTTTAGTGGACGTTGACTTCAAAGTTTAGTGTTTATGGCCTTAAGATGCATTACCATTGTTAAACAATTCTCATAAACATAAATTTTCCAGAAGTCTAAGCCTTTAGGGATCCTTGATCCTTTTTCCTTGTTATTTTCCCAAGTAGTCATAAAGTTTCTAAACTAGGCATCGATATATGTTGGTTTGTTTTGGTTGAGATTTATCATTGGTTTCTACCTTATGGCAGCACTTGCATTATATTTCTTTAACTTGTGCTAATTTCCTGAACATTGTTGTTCTAGCAACTTGATGCATGTCTTTCGCATGGTCTTCTCAACCAATTATTTAAACTTTGAAATTGTTTAATGGGTTGCTAGTCACACTAACCTTTTCTTCTGTAAGCCAGTCCTTTGCGCTTCTATCTTCAAATATATATTTTATTAGAATTGCTGCAAGTTTATGCTTACTTAGCTTATTTATTTATTTATTTATTTATTTTGAAAGAGCTTACTTCTGAACTTAAGTTTAACAGAAATATGCCATCATGGCATTTTTTACCTTTGCATTTTGTAAGAGATCTGGACTTAAGAAGTTGATATATCTTGTGGAAGGTGACCCGAATTCTTCAGAAGCTGCTGAAAGCATCAAAACTGCGTAAGATTTTTAAAAGATATACTTTTAGAGATGAGTCTTCTTTCAACTATGTTTTAGTATGTCTCTTTTACTTCACAAAAGGAGCATCTGGTGGTGCGTATTAAAACTTGTCTCCTTGCTGTTTATTTCTGGAATGTTGTTTTTAGAGATAGTACCCAGTCCTACATCTAAACTTGAACTAAACTGATTTTCTGTAATAGTGAAGGGGAACCAATCCCTCGTCCCCTAGTTCCTGAGGTTGTGATTCCAAAGAATTATATTTCTAGCCTTACTCATTTCTTACTTTATGCAGGTGCTTCACAACAGAGATTCTTGAGGGGTTTGATGTTCAGAGAACAAGCGGTTTACATGATACCCTGAGGAAGTATGCTCATCTTACTCGGGCAATAACTCAATATTACAAACAGAACCTGCCAGAGGATGATTCCAGATTGACCGGGGTCTGTCCCTCCTTTAGTGAATTTATCCGAAGGTGCCAAGAGCTGGATAAAGTGACAGTCAGTGACGTATTTTCCATTCAACTTATGCAGGTATAGCTGTTCTTTCATTAGGGAAAGTTCACTGTTTTGTAATAGTGCTGATTTTAACATGTGGGATTTATGTGCTAACCATGAACCTGGTTCATTTGGGAGAATAAATAATTATGTTGATCCATCACTTGAATACCCTTCAAACTCTAAAAAATTGATGGTCGTTCTCAAATGTTTGACCCTGTTGGTAACATTGTGAATCATTTAACCACAGGTGTCACAGGTGACCGAGGAGGTTGCCATAGCTGTTGTCGATTTGTATCCAACATTAGTGTCTCTTGCACATGCTTACTCTCTTCTTGTGAGTATCCTTTTTCTTTTTTCTATGCTGGAGCTGGGAACTTTATATGAGAAAATTAATGGTTGTTAGGCTAGGAATTTCAGAAGAGGCATCACACATTCTCAACCAAGTCATCCAACTGCATAAGAAGAGTTCCTTTAGTTTGTAGTTTAGAAAGTAGAATTAGAAGTTACAGAACTCTAAGACCTAACCTGGTCTACTTTAACATTTTATGCCCATGTTAATACATACATACGTGAGCACATGCACATACCTAGATAACTACATGCATGCATACGCATGTATAGGGGTGAACAAAATTCAACTCGATTCGAAAAATTGATTTTTTTTTTATTTTCGAGTTATTCGAGTCAACTCGATTTATCAATTTGGTTTTCTAGTTTGAGTCGAGTTGAAATTTTGACAATTTTACAATTTAGTCCCTGATTTCATTATTCTTTCAATTCATCCTTCATTTTAAGTCCATTTTTTTACCAAATTTTAACCAAAACATCGTAGAATACATATGTACTTTGATACTTTTGATTTCTCTTTTTGATAATAAATTTTTTATTTTTTTTCAATTTATTCCTTCAATTTTCATAATTTCCTTATTTCTTCAATTCATATTTTATTTTAAGTCTATTTTTACCAAATTTGAATTACATGCTCATATACCACAATAAAATACCAATGTAACTTCAATTTCTACTTTTTTGTACTATAAATGTTCTTTTTTTTTATCTAGTCCCTTAACTTTGCATTTTACTCAATTTGGTCTTTTGACTATAATTGTTTGCAAATTCTTTCTTCCCACCAATTCCTTGACTCTTTTATACTCTTATCAATATTTTACCCTCAAAATACTTTCTTTGAAATATAATATTATGAATATATTTTATAATTTTAGATTGTATTTATATATTAAATAACATTATAATATATATATATATATATATGGTTAGTGAAAGTCAAAAAATTGAAAGAAATCCTTGCCATAATACTATAAATAATTATAATAAAATTAGTACAGAAACTCGAATAACTCAACTCGAATTTCTTAAACTTGATTGATTGGAGAAAATTTCAAGTTAAGTTCGAGTTGTAAAATACGACTTGTCAATTCGAATAACTTGAAATTTTTTGACTCGACTCGACTTGATCGAATGCTCACCCCTACGCATACGTCTCGTCAATTCGAATAACTTGAAAATTTTTGACTCGACTCGATCGAATGCTCACCCCATGCATGTACATACATACACTGAAAATGGATTGATGCAAGATAATCTTGACTTACGAGTCACTGGAAATTGAATTGTCTGGCTCTGTTTTTGAATCGATTGCACCGCCAAATTTCTCAACGGATTTAATTTTTTTTTTTGGTTCATTGTATTTTTGTTTGTCTATGAGTTTTACCGACATTGGTCCATTATTTGTTGCTTGGAAAGGAGGGTGATGTCTGTGCACAAGAAGATATGCTTAGGAAGCAGAGTAACAACGTGGTGAGCTCAGTTGCTAGTAAGAATATTTTTCGATTTGTTTGGGGTTGAACTCACTTTGGCACATCGCTTTGTATTATTGTATATTGTAAAATCTAACTAAGATTTGTCTCCATTTAAAGCTTTGGGTGAATCATTGTACTAAACAAGATTTGTTTCCATTAAATTACTATTTTGCCTTTTGTTTATATTAAACGTACAACAATTGAATTACACACTATTAATCTTATAGATTAATGGTTTCAAAATGTTTAGCTTTTGGTGATGCGGAAGCCGTCGATAACACTTCTGCTTGTTGAATTCACAAACTGCAAAAGGTGAATAAAGCCACCGATTAGCAACAAAAAGAAAAGGAGGAGATCAATTAATTGACCGAGTGATTTATCTCATCTGATGTGGGTTCGAGTTATGAGGTTTGTCTTAGGTTTGTCTTAGGAATGTAAATCTCTCTCCACTTAATCAAAAAAAGAAAAGGAAAATGTAGTTATTACAAGATTAGCATGTTACCAACCTCTAACTTTAGCTCATTCCTTGTTGCATGTGCTCTGACATAACCATATTCAGAAATCCTTATCAAACTCCAACCTGCTACCTGTTCATCAACCCTAACTTCATACCATGATTTTCTCTGGTTTAACCAAATAATATTCTATTGAGACGAAATGTTCTTCATCGACTTACAAAGGGTGAGAATTTCTGGATACTGAATCCGGCCATTCCAACAATAGCATGCACTGGTGCTTTGTAGTTTCCATTATCATACGTGTCAACCCCATTTTCATCTTTCTCTGGCATTGCCAGGCATTGGGAGTTGGAAATGGAACATGTCCTCTCATAGTTATGAACATGTCCGAAAAGGACGAGATCAACCTAGTTCATTGTTTTTGAACCCCAATCACTCACAGCCTCGGACAATGTCCGAATCGACAAACGACGAAACTCGTAAGGAACTTTTATTTTACCTTGTTAGCCAGAAGAACTGGTTCTACGCCATTACGGAACGAGTCATCAACATTGCCTAGAGTGCTGCTATACATCGGTCTATGCCTGCATTTTGCAGATATTGCAGTTGATATAACAATCTTAGTAAATAAATTACAGAATTCGATCGATCGACGAACTTGTTTTTAATCGGAATTTAACTCACCCTGTAAAGATTAACCAAGGTGTCTTTGTTCTATCAACGGACGCCATGTCCGTCATCATCCATTGGTACTATGAAAATTTTGAAACCATGTCAATTACATATACTGATATACGTACATATATACAAGTGAAGTGTACTATCATTAGAAACCTGCTCAGAATTTTGGGTCCAATCGTGTTCTGTCGAAATGACAGTAAAGTGAACGGGGCCTTGTTCTATGGCATACCATGGCTTATCCTTTTCTGCGGTTGGCATCGGGAAATAGGTCTCATAAGGAACTCCACATTCTCCGCCGGAGTCCGCATTCAGATAACGGTCCCCTGAACCTGCATAATCCCTGAAATGTGGGGATGTTAACTTTGCCATTGTTGAAGAGAAGCTGGAGTTTCCATTCATTAGTAGGATCTGCTAGAACGCATGAAATGTTACCTCTCATGATTTCCGATGGCCGTCATGTAGGAGACCTTAGAAGCTAAAGGGCTTATAAGATTAAGGAAAAACTCCCATTCAACCAGGAAGCCTGTAGCATAGCTTATGTCCCCAATGTGAAAAATGGAGTTTATGCTTCCATTGTTCATTTCTTCTTCCATTGCTTTTACCACTGATACAGATCCTGGCTGTCCCACAACGTCTTAAGCCACATTAGTTCATTATAGTGATACCATATATTTTGTCCCATTCAAATTGTCTCTCTCAGTTGTATACAAACCTTTCAAAATTCTAATTATAAGTTTGTTCAGGTTTAAATCAAGAACTTTTAAAATTTAAAGTTACATTTTGTAGAACTGATATCAATTATCACGAATCCGAATATATTCGAGTTTTCTATGATCACATTACCTGAATGTAGTGTTCAATAGAAGCATCAAAAGGAGCCTTTCCCATATCACCAAATACAAGAAATTTGAGTTCATCTGATCCTCCAGCTGGTGGTGTATGGAATCCAATTTCATCACTCCATCCAATCGCATCACTGGATCAAGAAATACAAGGATAGATTACTTCAAAGATTTGAAACCCTCAAATTCTCTTCCTATCAGCAATTTATGCATGTCTTTCACCATTGTAGGATCAAAATATCACTCTCACTACCATTACCATGTTTGTATCAAGAACAAACTTTGGGTGAAACTATTGAAATTACCATATAATCATGTTCCTACAATGTATGTGTACCTTCCATATTTGTAGTTGGAGATGCTTGAAGGCTGGAGGCCTGTCATCACCGCCGTGTGTATATAACCAGGGTCATGCCACCCGAAATCCTTGGCCGGACTTGGAATAAAAGGAGAACCTATTATCAAATCGAACATGAAGAAATCGGTCCTGAAACTAATTTAAACCATGAACATGATAATCTTGAAAGAGTAATACTAATTTGGAACTCACTACACATATCTTCTTGAGAAAAAGTTGTAACTTGTGATATCTGTGATTTCCCATTCCCATAATTCACCCGCTGAGGCTTACTATCCCCACTTATCCATGTTAACCTCATCTGCAACATTATAATAAAATTACCCGACTTGGTTATTTGAACTCGAGGTAAGTGTCGGATATAGGTACATGTCTAATCCGGTTCCAATATGAATCAGATACTGATGTTCCATGCATGCATGGGGTGGTAATTACCGAAGTTCCAGATGAATCGAAGGCGGAGAGATGTCCATGCAAAGGAGAATTCGGATTAGAAAATCGGAAGGGAAGGGTCCTCCTTAGAATGCAAGGGGTAAGGAAGCCACCGGCGAAGAACACGAATTCGATGTCGGTTCTTATGTTTATGACATGAAAAGTTACGGTGGCACTGCATGTTCTGATCTCACATCTTCCATTTTCATTGTATTTTCTGCATTTTTTCTTCTGGCAACTTAGATAGGCTGGATCGCTGCTAGCATATATTGCCTGCAAACTCCCATTTCAATGGCGACTTTACTGTTTTAATGGTCCTTCTTTAGTAGTTAACAAGGATATATTTTATAGATTATATCTGAATTATAAATAATATAATAATTATTTTTAGTGATAAGTGACGTTATAGGTGTGGGGGTCAGTCAGCGTCTCACGTTAGATATTGCATATAAAGAAGGGAGAACGATGGTATATTATATAAGTATATTCTTTAGTTATGGAGGTATGAGTCGAAATGACGTTCTTCCCTAACAACCATTCTACCTTTAAGCTACGTCTCTTGTTACCAAATTATGACTTCACGTCAACATCTTATCTTAAAATTCATTTTATACGACACGAAAACCATCCACCGCAGCACCGGTGAACATCTTTGAATCATGGACAAATATTCATGAAAATGACTTTTGTAACGCCCGATTCAAAGGCTTTTGTTTGGTTACTTCATCTGGTTAAAGTGTACATTTTGTGTATAATTATTTCTAATCCAAAATGCCATAAGTATATATAAAGTTGGCATGAAAACATTCCTTTGTGGGTTGAGCAATTCAATGATACCAAAATCTGCGTACCTTAACTGGATAATGGCAAAGCAGAGGGAGGTCACTAATGTCACCCGTTTGTACGTAAAATGATTTACTTCCCGGACAATCTCGGGTGCTGCACATGCAATATAATCAAACTCCAAAGTGCTTGAATGATTCTCAAAGTTAAATATAATCTTACTTGGAATCGGAAGGCGAAATCATTGCAATCCAATCATTTGGCAAAGGGAGCAAAACCCCACTAACAGTCACACTGACCATCTCTTCATTGGAGACAAGGCTGGAGTTTTTACTAACATTAATTTGGAGAAAAGGATTGGGATCAGGACATTGCAGCAAGGTTCTTCTGTTGATCACACGAAAGTCGGATATGGCAGTGGAATTCCGATGTTCAAACACCGAGGCTACAACCGAGGGATGTAACCGGGACGGAGAAGATAGACAAGTAGTAGAAAAGAAGAATAGCAGGGTGAAAATACAAGGAAAGGCTTGTTCCATCGAACTTCAGAGTATTAGACGTATGAGGTGGGGGAGATATAATTTTTTGTTCTGAGTGCTTGTTGGAATATTTATGGGGTTTCATCTCTTATCGTATCCCCTTCAACTTACGATGTTTTCACTCCTATTTAAGCATTGATATCATTTGCAATAAAGTTCTGTTCATAAAATTATTTAAGGATTAATTATCAAGCAGATCAACACATAATTATGTAATCATCTCCTTATCCATACAACAAGCTTTGAACCCTATTTATCATACTCCCATGTCCATTTTGCTTTAACTTCAGTAATCTCCTCCAAACATGTTCAGTATCTTCATCTTATGACTAGACTTATTTAAGTTATTTTTCTAAACAAGTTTTAGTAGGGCGATGTAGAATTAAAATTTTTTGACGAGTTGACAAGTCCTAGTTTATAACTCGAAGTTGACTTGAATTTTTTTTAGTCAAGTTGAGTTTGTAAAATTCAAGTCAAGTCGATTTTTCGAGTTTCTGTTTAAATTTAATTGTAAATATTTATAATATTATGATATTATTTTATTCCAATTTAAATATTTTTATAACCATATCAATGCATATATACTTCTTCAAAAAAAATTATAGGTGATATACATATATCACACATTGTCAAGTGACTCGATTCAAACTTGAAAACTAATTAGTTGATTATTAAAAATTTTGAGTGACTATTCAAGTTTTATTTTACAACTCGATTTGAACTTGATTTTTTTAGTTGAATTTATGAAATTACAATTTGAAGTAAATTTAATTCGAGGTTTTTCAAATTAAATCGAGTCAAAAGAATAAATTTTTCGAATACCCTAAATTTTAGTGCCCATAACTATACGATTATTATGAGGGTGGGTTATTTTAAAGGATTGGGCCAAAAGAAAGATGAGGCCATATCTATTTGAAAAGCCTCTGAAATCCGAAAATGTTCCAATGAGCTTTTAATGAGCCAAAAAACGATTTTCTTTTCATACAATATGTAGATTTTTAGTCTGGATTTTATATTAATTTAAGTTTTATTGTAACGTCCTAATCCAATATGACCTGAAGGTCGACGGACCATGACGTCACATGAACCACCGAAGTAGCTGACCGAAATTTTTCGTTTAAAAGCAATACATTCATTTGCATAAATCCATATTTTGACAATCATAATCACATAAATTCATAATACTTGTTTACAAATCGGGAGCCCAAAAAAATAACTTCAAATTAAAATTTATAAAACAATTTATATATAAGTTCAACTCAACATACATATGTTCATTTACAATATATGCCCACTATTACATAAGTCGAGACGTACCCAAAAGCTGACGGCTGATGCTAAATGGTCTAGGCAAAGGCTCCTCTAAAAGCTCATGCTCCTAACCTGCGCACAGAAACAAATTTTGAACACTGAGCTCACAAACTCAATGCCACACTAATAACCAAATTACATTATATGCATCCTCTAATGTACGTACTTAAAACATATTTGTTAGCATACGAATATGCTAACCAAACATACATACACAGGTAGGGTGAAAATCTGGAATTCTACATCGGATTGCGTCACCCGCTAACTTGCTCTGTCGAGCCTTGGGACATCTACGCCCAGTTAGCAAAGATATGCTTAATGCACTATCTTAGGGTTGGCCATATCTTAACATATAAACGTTCTCTTATTCTAAAGTGATTCGAGTGTCCGACTCATTTCCCGAACACCATACAAGGCAAGTCTTATAATTCCCTAGAGTATAGGTTTTCTAAGTGAAATTAACTTTGTTAATATCATTCTCACTTGATATCTTATTGAAGGAGTAAGGAGTGGTTTAAGTCCCTCAATCATATTTCTAAATTCTCCAAATTTTTTATGCATATGAAGTGGTATCGATAATGCCTTATCAGTATCGATACTGGCACAAGAGTATCGATACCCCATAGAATTATCTATACCAACAGCTTAAAAACAACCTTAAGAAAAGGGGTAGTATTGATACCCCTATATGGAGTATCGATACTCAACCCTTAGTATCGATACTTCCATGAGTATCGATACCAAAATTACCTTATAAAAAATCGGTATCGAAACCCCTCTTCCAAGTTTTGAGATCGAACCTAGTGTATCGATACTCTATACATGGGTATCGATACTTCCACCTAAAAACTTATATATTTTTGCTCAATATAAGAACAATATCAATACTTACACGTACAATATCAACACTGACACCCGAAAATGCCCTGTTTAGGCATCTTCAGCCTTTAAAAACCATCCTAAAGAGGTCCAAGGGCCCAAACATTATTAAAGTCTAATTTGAATTTATTAGGGTCATAAAGAGACATCATATAGCAATAAAACACATAAATATGAGATTTACCATGAACATACTCTTAATCCTTCAAAAGCTAGTGCATGCATGATGAGGCTTATAAATGGTATAGGAAGGTTAGAATGGTGTTACCTTACTGTTTTAGTTGATGAAAATTCCCCAAAATCACCCAAGGGTCAGCTTCTCTTTACCCCTTGTCTTGGATCATTCTCCAACTTCTTTCACTAATACATAAGGAAATATGTTACTAACTTATTTATGAGACTATTGGGAACCTAAAAACATTTCTTGAAATTCATCCTACCCCAAACACAAGCTAAAATCCTTAATTTCATAAACCTCATTAAAACCCATTTTTGGTTAAAATCTTAAAACTTGACATATGAGGCTTGAAATGAAGCTTTTGAAATGGAGAATGATTTCCTTACCTTAAATAAATTCAACCAAATGATGAACTCCTTAAAGCTTCATTTGAATGTGTAGACACTCGTTTTTGTCCGGGTCTACAAAAACATTTTATTATATTATATATTTATTATTATTATTATTATTATTATTATTATTATTATTTTTGTAGGCCCTACACTCAACAACCCCGATTTAGTGAGATTCAGAAAATAAACCAACGTATTTAAGTCTCATTGAAACACTAAAACCAACGTATTTGAGTCCTATTGAAACACTAAAATCGAAGCATTTTGAGTCCAAGTAGGACTCTAAATCTGAGCTAAAAATAGGTTTCTTTAGACTATAAATAGACTCAAGCGTAAAGAGGAAAGAGGAGAGAGAGAAATGTGGAACCAAAATCAAATGAAGGGTCAACGATTTGAAAAAATTGAGGGAATAAAAGGACAAAAATAAGCGTGGAGGATCCAAAGCCAATATCTAAAAGCACGAGGAGTGGCATAACATTTTCATTGCAAATCCAGTTTCTCTACACGCAAAACATGGGAGATGTAACAACTTTTGACTTATTCTTTTTATTTCATTTTTTATTTATTTACTTTATATATATTTTTCATTTTCTCCTAATTTTAATATTTTTATTTCTTTTTTCATTGTTATATATATATATATATATATATATATTTCATTTTTATTAATATTATTATATTAATATTTTTTATTATTCGTTTCTCATGTTTATTTTCATTTTTATAATCCAACACTTTTGACTTTTTAGGGATACTTTCAATCGATCAAAGATAATTAATTCAAATTAAATTTTTAAATTTCAATTTAAATTTTGATTTTCGCGATTAAGACAACCGATGAATTAATTGGTACCGAAAGGGCGGTTCAAGGGTGTTAATCCTTCATTGACCGTAATCGACTCCCGAACCCGACACGTTTCTGGTACAACACAGATCATGTAAGATGGTGTCTGACCTACCTAAATTCGTTTAAATGGTCAGTGGCGACTCCAATTCATTTAATCCAAGTCGAAGCCTAATTCGGGGCCCAACCAAAAGACGGTTCTGACATGATAAAAAGGAAATGAAGAGAGGAATGTGAGAGATGAGGAAGAGTGTTTGATGAGGAAATGAGAGTGGTTCACACTGATAACTTAGAAAATAAGGGGTTTTAGTTCTTGATTTAAAAAAAGGGAAAATCACACTTGAGGTCTTCTTTCTTTTTACTTCTTAATAAACTTATCCCAAAATTCCAACACTTGGGCCAAACCAAGCCTAATTCTTACTTAATTTCTATCCAACAAATCTAATGGGTCTTTTTAGGCTCGAATTAAAGGTTTTTGGTCAACCCAAACTATTAACCCAGGGTTTGGGGTATTACATTTATAATGTATAGGCATGTCTAGTTTCATTTCAATTAGGAGTGAGCATTCGATTGAGTCGAGTTGAGTAAAAAAATTCAAGTTATTTGAGTTGATGAGTCTTATTTTATAACTCGAACTTGATTTGAATTTTTTAAGTCGAGTATATTCGTTTGAGTTTATGTTTAAATTTAATTTTTAATATATTTAATATTATGGTACTATTTGATTCCAATTTAAACGGTTTTCTATTACCATATAATACATATATATTTCTTTAGTTTTTTTTTCATATGTGAGATACATATATCATATAGAGTCAAGGGACTCGACTTGAACATGAAAACTATTCCATTTCTCACTAAAAATTTTGAGTTATTCGAGTTCTATTTTATAACTTGAATCAAATTTTAAAAAAATAAAGTCAATTTTATGAAATTGCAATTCAAAATCAATTCTAACTATAAATTTATTTATCTGCACTTTTTAATCATTGATTATAGTCGTAATTATATAAATATATTGAATATAATTATAATTATTTTTACATTATAGAGTTTATTGTATTTGTAAGAATCTATATTGATTATCATTGTAATTGTACCTTAAAAAAGTAAAAAAATAATAAAAGAAAATTTATATAAAATTATTAAAATATTAAATTAAAAATAGTATAATTATCTAAAAAATAATAATACATAAGAGGCTTGATTAGTCATAGATAATCTTAAATAAAATTTGAAACTATATAAAACAAATTAACATCATATATAAATTCAACTCAAATTTAACCTAAAACATGAACACCTTTAATTATATTTCCACTAGTATAAACTTAATGGATTTGTAGATATTTTTTTTTTCTAAATTACTAAAATCCTTTAACTTTTTTATTTTATATATATTAAAATATTTGTAACATTTTTTCAATCGCATAATTACGATGTACTAATACAATTAGGGATGGTAAACGAGTATAATTTCGTGGATTCTGCATTGTACCCGCTCCAATTGAGGCAGAGATGGGTGTAACTTTAGTGGGTAGTGGGCAGGTGTGGATTTATAAAGTGATACCCGTTGTGGGTAGTGGGCGGGTGATGGGTTTGAGACCTTACACGCCCGCATCTGCCCGCCCACTAAATATCCATTAAATTTTGGACCATTATGAATTTAGGTATAATTTTAGAGTCTAATTTATAAATCTTAATATTGTATAAGATATAACTTATAATTTAACCAAATATTAGGGATAAGTTTATGAATCCTTTTTTTTCTTTCAAACCTCTCGTGTTTTGCTTTGCGCCGATATTCTAATAGTTCTTCTTCTCTAAGTTTCAAACTCTGGTCTCCAGCTCATTCAGGTACGCCTTTTTCTTCTTCTTTAATCTTTACTCTGGTCTCCTTTGCGGGTAGTAGAGTTGTATGCCATTTTATACACAGATCCAAAACCACCTTCCCCAATCTTGTTTGTTGTATCGAAGTTGTTTGTGACCGCTTTAATTTATCGTAAGGTGAATACTCCGGTTTTTAGATCTAATCCTCTTAGTTCTGGTTTGATATTCTTTTTCTGGATTGAGATGATGCGTCAAAAGAGATATGGCTGACGGGTCCACCCGGGACTGGGCTGGTTAGGCCGGGTTAGGGATTGAACAATTCATCATAAAAGTCAAGCAAATCTTCCCCCATCTAAGGCCATCACTATTGTTTTACTTCAACATCTTCCTTTTTTTGTTATTTCGATTTCGCAATGCACAACTACATGGGAAAGGAGGAATAAATATTTTGTTTATTGGATTTCTTTGAGTGATTTTCGTGTGTACACTCGTATTTGGTATATGCAGTACAGTGTGTCCGAGTGCTGTTTTGGTGAGAAATGCATATGAGCCATGGATGGCATATGCCGGGTGGGAAGAAAATATCTCCTGCTTTTTGTTTATCATTTTGTTCTATAGACCAAATAAAGTGGTTTCTTTATTGGAATTCACAACTCAACAATGATATGCAACCTGTGAAAAGTAAAAGATAATTTATCTATTGCATTACCACCTTCGATAGGTAATCTTGATTTTCTCAAATTTGATTTTGGGACCGTGTTTTAAATCTTCTCATCATCGACTTTGTTCAGTGTTATTGTACACTTATGACTTGCTACACTTACCAAATAGTAGTTACCAACCTGATGTTGGTTCTGGTGCATTACATTTAAGTTGAATTTTTCAATTTCTCATTTTTATTTGCTTGTCTTGATTAGGGTTTCTTTTTAGTTGAACTGAGTAATTTCAAAATTAAATGTATATTTCACCTACTTTATGCTCATTCTACTCTGCTATGCACATGCAATGTTCTGTTTGTTTTATAATCTTAAAAATCAAAATCAATATACGAATGCTCTTAGATTCAGCAGAATATCAAAATCAAAATGACAACCGTAGAGCAATAATTTATGTGTTTCTTCTTGTTGTTCGAATTTACTTACTTTGATGCATGTATTAATATGATTAATATGTGGTTTATGTATCTTATATAACATGTTTTATTGTAATTGTAATTATAGAATATATAATGGCAGACAAAAGTGAACAACACAATACTACAACCACCTCATCACCATCAATCTCAAAGCCAACCACTACAGCAAGTTCTACCCCAACTTCTGACTGTGGTGACAAAAATCAAAAGCAAACTGATGATGCAGATCCTATGGTCATTCCCTTAACTTCGAGGCATACATCAACAACTTGGAGTCACTTTATAAGAAAAAGAGTTGGGAAGAAAATAAAAGCTGAATGTAACTACTGCAATAAGCAACTTACTAGAGGACCAAGAGCGGGGACAAGTCACTTAACCGAGCATGCAAATAAATGTGTCAAAAAATGCTTAGATATTCGACAAACAAGGCTATTTGGAACACAAGCTAAAGATGGTGGTTCGAATGACACTCTTTCTTTGGCACCATATGAATTCCACCAAGATAAAGGGAGAAAAACTTGGCAGAAATGATCATTTTGCATGAATACCCTCTTACCATTGTTGAGCACTATGGCTTTAGGAAGTACTCCAATACACTTCAACCAGGCTTTAAAGTTTCGTGTCGTAATACAACCAAGAAAGATATCATGCAAAGATATGAGACTGCAAAAAAAGGGCATAAGTGCATTGTTGAGCAAAATAAATAGTAGGATCGCCTTGACCACTGACATGTGGACCTCAAGCAATCAAAGAAAGGGATACATGGCTGTCATCACACACTTTATTAACAATGGATGGAAACTCCAAAGTCGAACACTTAGGTAATATTATTTTAGAAGTTATGAAGTTTCACTTTCTTTTATTTCATGTGTTAATGCATGTCACTTTAATATGATAGGTTTTTGTATGCCTCAGCACCTCACACGGCTGAGGTTCTTACTGAACATTTGAAAGAATGCATCCACTCTTGGAATATTGATATCAGATTGTCTTCTATAACTGTGGATAATTGCACAACTAATGATTCTATGATTGATATTTTTCTCCAAGAATTTCCTTATGGCTCGCTAATGTTGCATGAACGTTTTCTTCATATGCGTTGTTGTGCTCATATACTTAATTTGATTGTTCAAGATGGGTTGAGTGCTATGATAAAAAATGGTCTTGATAGAACTAGGGATAGTGTTGCATTTTGGACTGCTTCAGATAAAAGAAATCAAAATTTTGAACAAGTGGTTCCTGAATGTACAAAAAAAGTTCAACTTGATTACAAGACTAGGTGGAATTCGACTTATGACATGCTTATGATTGCTTTAAATTATAAGGAGGTATATGTTGTCTTGAGTGGTCGTGAAAGTTTGTTTAAGAATCCGCCACTTAATGAAGATTGGGAAAAGGTGGAGAAAATTTATGAATTATTAGAAGTGTTTAACTATATTACACTTGTATTTTCTGCCTCAAAATATCCCACGGCAAACAATTATTTTCCATGTATTTGTGGGCTTAGAATAGTAATGTCGAATTGGCTTTCATTGCCTTGTGATTATATAAGAAAGATGGTGCTAGTAATGTTGGAGAAGTACAACAAGTATTGGGCTGATGTTAATGGTCTTATGGGCGTGGCCACTATACTTGATCTGAGGTTCAAGCTGAAATTGATTCGTTTCTATTTTGAAAAAATTTATGATACGTTTACTGTTCAAGCTAAGATTGATATAATTGAAGGTCTTCTACATGAATTGGTGGATGAGTGGATATAGAAATGGTAAGAACCAAGCAAGTAATAGTAAAACCAAATTTGTTGGTTTTTTCAATACCAAGGGAAAATGAACAATGTTGAACGAGTTTGTTGAATTTGTAAAACAAAATAATGATGCAATTTCAGAAAAATCTGATTTGGACAGGTACTTAAAAACTGGCAACATACCACTTGTTAATGATTTTGATATTCTTAACTGGTGGAACACAAATGGAAATAGTTTTCCAACACTCCAACAAATAGCAAAGGATATTTTGAGCATTTCTGTCTCCACTGTCCCATCAGAATCTGCATTCAGTACAAATGGAAGAGTAATTGGTCCTTATCGTAGTCGACTACTTCCGGAGATGATTGAAGCATTAATGTGTGCTCATAATTGACTTTGGGCCTATATTAAAGGTAAAATTATTATTTAGTCTATGTTAGTTGTCAAATTATGCTTAATTATCTTATTAAAGTTTAGTTACTAACTTATATTAGTTTTGTCTTCTATTATATATGTAGGTAGTAGTGAATTTAAATTGGAGCGCTCTCAATTTGAGGAAATAAATAATGATGATTGTAATACTGGAGTATCAGATGTCACAAGTATTGCCTGAAATTTGAGAATGTTGTGCCAAAGAACAAAAATATTATGTGTTTATCATTTATGTTTCTAGGTTTTAATTATGTCTTTTATTATGGTTTTTATGTACTTTAAGATATATATTAACACTTAACTCAGATAATCCTTGGTTTATTTTATTATGCTTCTTAATGGACGTGTTTGTTTCATGTTTGCTGCTTATGTATAACTTAAGTTTGATGTCAGGCGGGTCTAGCCGAGTATGTCTCCAGTTGGGTAGTGGGTGTGGGGATAGATTTGAGAATGTACCCACGTGGGCGGGTGTGGATTTGAAAATTCTTACCCATCATGGGTGGTGGGCGGGTGGTGAATTGAAAAATATTAGGTGGGTATGAGGATGAGGGAGGGGGTATCCGCATCCGACCCGCCCGTTGTCATCCCTAAATACAATATTACTTGATGCCAAAGTAAATTGGAAAAAATGTCTCATTTTCGATAATTTCTTTATATTTTCCTGGTTGTCCTCCAATTCTAAGATTTCCCTTTGACTAATTTGGATCGATTCGGGTCGTACACATGATTTTGGTAAGTGAGTATTCGGGTGGAGATTTTCTCATTTTCGAGAATTTCAATCCCGTGGCTTAGGCACATTATTAGACCACTAAACATTATGGTACTAATTAATCATAGTATTTAGATCAGCATCCGATAAAATATGGTGGAATTGAGCTGACTTTTATAGGAAATTTATTATTCTTAGTTTTAACTTTTAACGAAGCAAACAGAAGTGGAAGGATGCAATGCGTGGCCGCAAAACTACAAAAGGTCGACTCTTGAAAGCATCCCGCCTTTAAACACCGGTAGCCATTTTAGGACAAGAAGCTATGTTTAATGTCCAAATGTCATTTTTGTTTTTGCTTCCGATTAAGATATAAAGTTAGTCGATAATTATGGGTGAATTGCTTACCAACCAATCCTTAGCCGATAAGGATGTCATGTTTTGGGGCATCCAAGAGGATTTTGTTTTGAATGCATAAAATAAGTAGTAAAAAAGTCTACATTGGCCTATCATTTAGATTCCTTCATTCTCTTAATTATTTCCCACTTCTTCTTCTTTTATGAACGCCTTTGCAAGTCATAATGATGATGGCGAACAACAGATGAACAAGCTCGGGATTGATCAATTAACTTAGTGGGATTCGCCAATCAGGAATAAGAATGGGCATGGGTTTGGTTAGGCTGGTTTCCGACCAATCTGAACCGACCTAAAAATTTTATACCCTCCATCCGAGCCGACTCAAATTTTGAGAAATTCACTAACCCGAAACCCGACACGATGTTTGAGATAAAATCCGACTCCGACTCAACCCGAAATAATATAAAATTATAAATTTTATTTAATAAATAGGGACTTACTTGAAAAAAATAATACAAAGATGGGCATTCTTGTAATTATCCTTAAATATATAAGGTATTTCTATATTATTTTTTGAGTTAGGTAGGATATTTTAACCCTAAACCTAAATTCGACCTAACCCGAAACTATCTTTTAAAAAATCCGACTTGAATCTGACTTTTTTTTAAAAAATTTAACCCAACCAAATTGGATCAAATCGAAACCCATCGATTTCGGATATCGTGCCCATCCCTATTCCAGAAGCATTTTAGAAAATGATTTAACAATAATCTTGGATCAAACAGCTATTAGGCTAAATGAAAATCCCAGGCCCTCAAAAGTCTCAAGATTCAACCTTGGGCCTCAAACTCTTGAAACTCAAAATGGGTTATTTTCTGATCAGCAGTAAGGTGTTATTAATGGGCTGGAAATCCCTCAAACCCAGAATAAGCAACACAAAGCCCTAGTTCCCCTCCATATAAACCGACTGTAACCCTAGACATCATCCTCACTAGCCTCCAGTTTTTATTCATCAACAATTTTCAAATCCAGTCAGAGGTTAAAGAGACGGCGTTGATTGCCTGTCCGCCTTGACCGACCGTCCGGCATCGTCTTGGCCCTCATTTTTGTTCTTTTAAACGTTGCTTCTTTGATACTAACCAGTCGAAATGGCAGTGAAACCCACCAAGGCCGAAAAGAAAGTCGCCTACGATGCGAAGCTATGCCAGCTCTTAGACGAGTACACTCAGATCTTAATCGCCGCCGCCGACAACGTAGGTTCTAACCAGCTCCAGAACATCCGCAAGGGTCTCCGAGGTGACTCGATTGTTCTTATGGGTAAGAATACCATGATGAAAAGGTCGATTAGGATGCATGCTGAGAAGACCGGGAACCAGGCTTTTCTTAACCTCATACCTTTGCTCCAGGTAGTTTAGAGTTACATAGAATATTGTATTTTTAGTATTTGATACATAAAGTAACTGATTTTCTGATAATTTATGATACAGGGAAATGTTGGTTTGATCTTTACCAAGGGCGACTTGAAGGAAGTCAGTGAGGAAGTTGCCAAGTACAAGGCATGATATTGTTGATTTATTTTACTAATGGAGATTTGAATATATTTTACCGTTTTTTTTTATAATTTGATTACTTGAAGGTCAAAACAGTTGCTATTACTGTAATTTAACGAGATATAAACTTGTTTAATATGTTCAATCATAGGGAGTTGAGGTTATTGTTATGTATATCAATGATTTTGTTAAGAATTTGCAGTTTTAGGAAGTCGAGGTTATTTTTGTATCATTCAATATTTTTTGTACAGATAGCTAAAATTTAGGAAATATATAACTCACATTGGTTTTAGGCTTTTTTGTTATTTTGAAGTATGATTTAATTAAGTTGCTCCTTTCTATTGAGTTTGCATTTCTGTGAAATGAATTCATTGTTCTGATATCAACAGGTTGGTGCTCCTGCTCGTGTCGGTCTGGTTGCACCCATTGATGTGGTTGTTCCCCCAGGCAACACTGGGCTTGACCCATCACAGACTTCTTTCTTCCAGGTACAGTCACTGCTTTTTGGAAGTTGTGTTCCATCTTATTTCATGTGCCTACTTGCTTGAGTTGGTGGTCGATTTTGATCATAGACGTTCTATGTTTTAGGTGCTCAACATTCCTACCAAGATTAACAAGGGTACTGTTGAAATCATCACTCCTGTGGAGCTTATCAGGAAGGGTGACAAGGTCGGCTCTTCTGAAGCAGCTCTTCTTGCTAAGCTTGGAATTAGGCCCTTCTCATATGGTCTCATTGTCCTATCTGTTTATGACAACGGGTCCGTCTTTAGCCCTGAGGTCCTGGATCTAACTGAGGAAGACCTGATCGAGAAATTTGCTACCGGTGTCTCCATGGTTACTGCTCTGTCTCTTGCCATCTCGTACCCAACTCTTGCTGCCGCACCACATATGTTCATCAATGCATACAAAAATGTCTTGTCTGTTGCAGTTGCAACTGAGTATTCTTTCCCTCAGGCTGATAAAGTGAAGGAGTACCTGGCGGTATGTAATCGTCTCTTTTATCTGGTGTATTATTTTTGAATTCCCATAATAGTATCAGCTAAATACAATTATTGCGTGTCATCCAGGATCCAAGTAAGTTTGCAGTTGCTGCTGCCCCTGTTGCTGCCGCTGCTGCTGGTTCAACTACTGCCGTTGCTGCTGCTGTGGAGGAGAAGAAACCAGAACCTGAAGAAGAGTCGGATGATGATATGGGATTTAGTCTCTTCGACTAGGGTTGAATTACTTGGTCATAGTTTGTTTCGTAAGGCTTATCCGTTACAATGGTCTGCTTGGATTATTTCTCTAGTTTCTTTTCGTGTACTAGGATCGTTTTTAAGTTTGGAGAATCTTAAGCTTATATAATATTGGGTAATTTGATTTTTCAACTCATTTTCTATTTCTTTTGTCGATTTCCCTTTATTGTTACTGGACATTAAGATTTAGGGCAGCGTTTCAAACAATAATCCCTCCTTGGCAGCTTCAATTAGCAAATCCAATGACTCAGTCGCCGCTGTTTGAATCGCGCTCTCGGATTGATCAGCTTCATTGGATTAAGAATCTCCAGTTGCTAATCTTTTCACCTACCTAGGAGATTTTGGAACCACTAATTTTTCTATAAAGTAGATAGCCACTAAGGTTGGATGGATACTCGAGCGGAAGTGTAAACACAGCGGGCTACTCTTAGAACAACAGAAAGGAACAAGACAAGTAGAGTAAATGTTTATGAGCTTTATTACTCCAAAAAGAATAAATGGAATGAGATGATACAAATGAGGAGGGTAGACTCTCTATTTATAGTTGAGCTCTCTCACCATCAATGACCTAGATTTATTTAGGTCAACAACTATGATCAACCCAATTAATTACAAATCTCCTAAACTAAGGAAAGTTAATCTCCTCACCATTTAATTATGTCAAGTAATTTTCTTTTTTTGGATGGGTGTTCACACTTTATACTGTAAGAATCTTCTACAATCTCCTTTGATTTG